TCGCATCAGTTGGTATCAGAGCTAGGCTCTAAAAAAAGGTCATATCCTTCTGTTATTTTTTTTTTGTGTGTTCCTTTAAGTTTTTCAGTGTTTGCGTCCATCTTCTTGTTCTTCGTGTTTGTTGACACGACTAAAAGATTGATGTCTTCTCCCAAGTGCAGGAGTGTCGAAGTAATAAATAACCCGGCAAGACCGGGGTCGAACCACAGGGAGGTTAATTGTACAAATTATAAATAACAATAATACAACAATAATAATAATAGTAATAACAATAATAATAAGAATAACACTTATAATAATAATAATAATAATAATAAAGAAAAAGAAGGAGAAGGAGAAGAAGATGATGATGAGAACTTTGAGATGAAAAATTAACGCAAGGATAAAACAATGATAACAAACAATGTCAAGGTTAGAGGATCCACTAATGGTATGTCAAACAAGTATAGTATAAACTCTTATTATTCAATTAGAAACCACACACAAAGGAGGTTCCAATCTGATTATAGATTGTTAACATGATTACATTAGTCATCTTATTCGATTAATGCTAATACTTGTAAATCTCGTCAAGCATTCATGATTATAACTTATGTTAACACCAAATCAAGTTCCTTTCATAGCTCAGGTGTCGGTTATACCCTACAGTATGGGCTATGAAAGTGCCAAGCATTTGTTGTACCACGTGTTATACAACATAAATCAAGATTAGTCATTTAACAAGCTAAGTATTAAAGAGTGAGCAAGATAACACATATAAAACATGTTAGTATCAAACATTAAAGTCCATATTAAGTCTACACTATACTTATTCTTACACCATTAGTGTAACCTTTTCACCTTGACATAATAAACTTAGCTAAACATAATAAAAGAAAGAAAAATAAATAAACAAAATAAGAACATAAATAAGATAAGAGTTAACTAAGTAAATGAAAGGAAATGAAAGGCATAAACTTGATATTAATGAAAGTAAAGCATAAACACTACAAAAAATACAAAGAGAGAAAGCAAGAGCATGATCTTGATCTGGAAACCAAGATGCCTAAATGCATGGCAAATGCCTCCTTTTATAGGCCAAAATTGGGAACTATTGATTTGATGACTAATTGATGAGTGGGTGGCCAACTCTTGACTTGGTGACAATCCTTATCTTCTTTTATCTACCCAAAACATCATTGATAACGTCAAAATTGGAGCCACTTGAAAACATGAAAGTTGTAGGCAATTGTCTCAGCTTTCTTGTGTAAAACATTCAGCTCATTTGAACTTCTAGAACTCCAGATATGGCCAAAATACTAAACAGTGCTCAGGCTGGAGGACAGATTCGGGCTTCTTTGTTGTAGCTACAATTTGGACTTGAAAATGACCTTTTCAGATCTTGGGCTCCATATGAAAGTTGTAGGCCTATGTCTTACCTTTCCATCCATATAAAGTAGACCTAAATCTAAGATCTATAGCTCCGGATATGACCTAATTACAGAACAGTGTTCCGGTTTGGATTGCACTGACATCTCTTTTCTAATTTTGGTCATCGTTTTGCAGATATGACCCATTTACCGAACAGTGTTCCGGTTTGGATTGCACCGACATCTCTTTTCTAAGTTTGGCCATCTCTTTATCCTTGCAATTTAAGTTCTTCAAGTCATCAATCAATCCTTTCATTTATGTGATAGGCCTGCATTAAAAATAGACATTTACCACAAATTAAAGGTATCTTATATTATTAGATATATTATTATAAAACATGCTTTAGTTAAGGAGTTATTGATACTTCAAGTGCAAAATGATGATATAAAACCATGATAAAAATGCACTTTTAAGTACTAATTATACCCCCCAACCAGCTTATTACTAGTCCCTAGTAATCAAAGCGTTAAAATAGAAAAACAATTTGCAAATTCCACAAAGCAAGATATTCATCATTTAACTTCCATTAATCTTTCCAGATAAACAAACTCTTGTTAAATTTATATACTTGCTCAATACCTCTTAACAAGATATTCATAAACCTTTCTTTTGTGCTCAATGTATCAACACATAATTATGGGTCTTTTCTTGGATGAAAACAAAATTTTTGTTCTAATGTTTAAGGTTAACTTCCTTGGGTTGGGATTATTATTTTTGTCTTTTTTTTTCTTCTTGTTTTTTTTTTAAAATATATATACATATAATTTAAAAACACCATGCATCTTTAACCCATGTAACGAGCTTTCGGCTAATGACTCCCAGACCAGTTGGTCTTAGGGCATTAGTAGTTAAGACACCCCTACGAGCTTAGTAACTAGGGTCGCAGATACTGATGTGTAGATAGTGCAATGTTTGATTTCCTTAAGCTTTTCTCCTCAACCCATGTAACAAGCGTTGAGCCAATAGCTCCGAAGTCAGTTGATAAGCTTTTCTCCTCAACCCATGTAACAAGCGTTGGGCCAATAGCTCCCAAGTCAGTTGACTTTAGGGTATTAGGTGTTAAAACACCCCTTCGGGCTTAATTGCTTAGGTTAGGGAGGCTACGAAACCAAACTTATCTACATTTTTATTGTTATCATTTTTTTTCTATTTTTTTCTATTTTTTTAATTATATACAATCCCTTTCCCTTAGTTGTTACCATTAACAAAAGAACATAAATAATGTAATAATCCAATATGCAACCCACAATCATATGTTAAAGTGTGTGTGTGTAAATTAAGGTTTAAGAATACATGTTAAATAAGTATATGAGCAGAATTAAGTGATAACAATGCGAGAGTTTGAAAACCTGAATATTTTAAGAAGTATTATAATAGACCTTGTTAAGAATGGTTACTAAAATGCGTCTCAAGAGTCACTTTAACAAAAGAGCTCCTTTACTCAGCCATCCTAGTAACAACAATTATGCACATGCTTTATGAAATGAAAAACAATTTTTTTTTTTTATCAACTACTACCCTCTCCCCCCAACCAAAACGAGACATTGTCCTCAATGTTTAAAGGTAGAAAGATAGAGTATAGAAGATATCACCTGAAATAACGAACACTGACAAACCTGAAACACACTGAAACAAAAATAAGAAATAACAAAACACAATAATAAAACCAAAAGACACAAAAATTCTTAAATGATGGCTCAAATCCAATCTAAGCTTTTTACAGCTTTCCTTAGTTGACCAATTTATGCCACTCATGGAAGCATCAATTACAGGAATGAAGGATTGTAGTTGGTCAATTAATTGTCAGCAGTAGCAGCAGAGATTATGATTTGTCGTGCAGAAGATGTTAGAAATTCCTGTTCCACAGCATGATCAAGAAAAGACAACTTATCATAATAACCATTAACATTTAACAAACCTATGGGTTTATGGTGAATGTGCAGTTGAGCCCAAGAGGAAATATGAAAGATATCTTCCAATGTGTCTAGACCACCTGGTAAAGCAATGAAGGCATCAGCATGGTTAAACATTGCATTCATTCGAGCCGACATTGTGGACACCTAAAGTTCCTCTCCAATTGTTTTTCCAATGATGTCTCCTTGTGCTAAAGCTTCGGGGACGACCCCCAAAACTTGACTACCTCCTAAAAATACAGTTATTGATACACCTCCCATTAACCCAAGACTGCCTCCCCCATACACTAAATGAATCTTTCTCTCAGCTAGCACTTGACCAAGATGATTTGCTGATTCTAAAAACTCCTTTTCTTTCCCAGGACTAGATCCATCGAAAACACAAATATTTCTTATATGATGACTTGAGGAACTTGCCATTTCTACACACTTCTGTATTTGTTGAATGTATGGGTTGTGTAGGAATGAAAGGAAGGAAGAGAGGCTTTTATAGATGAGAAATTAGAAAGGCAATCATATAAAATTGGGGCTTATTCTGATATTGTTTGCTTGAGGTTTTAATTCGAGGTCAATTCTATCGCAGAAACACTACTCTTTGTGAACCATAAGAAAAATACCTTAGAATAAATTGAAACTTCATATTATGTGTATTGGGTATGAGATCACACCATATATTAAATTTAGGCTTATTTTGATAACTGATTCTGGAGGTTTTAGTTGGGGGTTCAATTTTTCCGCAAACTGATCATACAAGGGGTTTGGGTACCTAGACATAAACGAACGACCTATGAATTGATTTTTGTTGTTTTTTTAGTATTATAATGCTAAATATTGAATTTTAGGTCATTTCAAGATCGTCTGGTCTGGGTTTCAATTCTATTATATAAAAATTGCGTAATAGGTTAAATTTGCGTCAAGTTTCAAAACGTGATCCTTACTATTTAGTTTTGTCCAAATCTTTTGTTTCTATTATATTTGGGTTATCTAGGAGTCAAGTAACTTTTTTTGCTAATACTCGGTTCTGTTTTATTTCGTGTTTTCGTTTTGTCCACAATTCATGAATTTGCATTGCTACTCGCAAAATCCTAATCGTAGTTTTGTTTTGCTTTTTTTTCAGTTTATTTATTGATTCTTGAGTTTGAAAATTATAATTAGAGTGCGCTGCGAAGGCTACTAACTTTGATTTGTTGATTTCAGTTCCTAAAAGATCCAAAAGAAAGCAATTAGTGAGGTAAAAGGCATTGTGAGCTTATTAGAGTGAAAAGCCTTGATATTTTTTTTTGTGTGATATACGAGAGGTGTGAGGATATATTTTGTACTACTAACCAAATTTTGCAGATTCAAAGAATGTTTGAAAACAACGAATCAGCTACACAAAACGTTGACGTAGCTTTTGAATTGCGAGCCATAGGCCAGCAACTGGAGCTATTGTCTAACGTACAAGTATCTGAAAGATGAGGTGAATTCAATAAAGCAACAGAATAGTGGGACTAATCACCGAGGAAATACAGTCCGTATGGCCATACAGAATGTCAGATCTGATTTTGAAGAGTTTGTTGACGAAAACGCATATGCAAGTGAAGTCATGATTTTGCATCAGCTGGCCAAGGAATTAGGTCTGGACCGAACAGGGCTAGGAGGAATGTGAATTTCCATGGCATGGGCACTTATGAAGATATGGATGGGGACGTGGACACCATTAAACTGAAAATTCCTAACTTTCAAGGTAAAAACGATCCCGAGGCTTATTTGGAGTGGGAGAAAAAGGTAGATTGGATTTTTGATTGCCATAGCTATTCTGAACACAAGAAGGTGAAATTGGTGATAATTGAGTTTACGGAGTATGCATTGATTTGGTGGGATCAAATTGTAATCAGTAGGAGGAGGAATAGGGAGCGACCTGTTCAGACTTGGGGGGAGATGAAAGTCTTAATGAGGAGAAGATTTATGCCAAACCACTGTTACAGAGACTTATATCTAAAGCTCCAAGGTGATATGATCCAAGCAAGTTCAAATTTGGATTTTGATGTAAAATGTGCAACTATCCAATTTTACGGCAACAATCATAATTCTGTGCGACGTGGTACCAATGCAAGCAAGTCACATCTTGTTGGGGAGACCATGGCAATATGATAGGAAGGCAATTCATGATGGGGTTAAAAATAGTTATACCATTGTAAAAGATGGTAAAACCACCACTCTTGTACTCTTACACCCAAACAGGTGTATGATGATCAAATAAAGCTAAAAAGTGAGCATGAGGCGATGGGGAGAGAAAATCAAGGTGAGGAACAAGGGGAGAGAAGACCATCAGATTCGGCTAGAACTCAAACCACTGCAACCGATTCGGCCACCCATCCAAACACAAACAAATATTTAGCCAACACTCTAAACAAATCAAACCATTCGACCACAACTCAAAAACACCCAAATCTGGCCGAGATTGGAGGTAAGACAAGAGGAGTGAAGAAAGTCAGTAAGGGTGATGAGAATTGTGTGGAAAAACTAAAGAAACAACCCAATTTTTATGCTCAAGACAGTGAGGTCAGATTTGCATTTTTCACTAACAAGCCAATGATATTACTTCTGTACTTTAATAATAATGATCTTGATCATATTGTGCCTAGTGTTGTTATTGCTTTGTTGCAGGAGTTTGATGATGTGTTCCTCGACGATACTCTTAGCGGATTACCACCATTGAGGGGGATAGAGCATCAGATTGATTTCGCACTCGAAGCTTCAATTCCTAATCGACCAGCCTATAGAAGCAATCCCGAGGAGACGAAGGAGCTTCAAAGGCAAGTTGATGAGCTGATAGAAAAGGGCTATATTTGTGAGAGTATGAGCCTGTGTGCTGTACCCGTGCTACTTGTACCTAAGAAGGATGGAACATGGAGGATGTGTGTTGATTGTCGAGCCATCAACAACATAACGGTAAAATATAGACACCCCATTCCTAGGCTTGATGACATGTTAGATGAGTTACATGGATCCTATATTTTCTCTAAAATCGACTTGAAAAGTGGGTACCATCAAATTAGAATGAAAGAAGGTGATGAGTGAAAAACAACATTTAAGATTAAGCATGGTTTGTATGAATGGTTAGTAATGCTGTTTGGACTTACAAATGCACCTAGTATGTTTATGCATTTAATGAATCATTGTTGCGTGCATTCATAGGTAAGTTTGTGGTTGTGTATTTTGATGACATTCTGATCTATAGCAAGAACTTAATTGAGCATTTTGATCATTTGCGTAATGTACTTAGTGTGTTGCGTAGTGAGAAATTGAATGCTAATCTTAGAAAGTGTGCCTTTTGCATGGAGAAAATTGTGTTTCTTGGCTATGTTGTAACTGCACAGGATATCGAGATGGATGAGGAGAAAGTTAAGGCCATCCGGGATTGGCCTACACCCAAATTGGTAAGTGAGGTAAGGAGTTTTCATGGGTTAGCTAGTTTTTATAGGTATTTTGTGAAAGATTTCAGTACAATAGCTGCACCCTTGAATGAAGTTGTTAAAAAGTCACTTGGGTTTAAATGGGGGGAGGAACAAGAATTGGCTGTTTTTTTTTTGAAAGACAAATTATGTTCTACACCTGTTCTGGTTTTACCTGACTTTACGAAGGCATTTGAAATATAATGTGATGCATCTGGAATGGGAATAGGTGCTGTTTTGATGCAGGATCGAAGACCTATTGCATATTTTAGTGAGAGGTTAAGTGTAGCGACCTTGAACTATCCCACTTACAACAAAGAACTCTATGCATTAGTAAGAGCACTTGAGACATGACAACATTACTTGTGGCCAAAAGAGTTCGTAATCCATTTGGATTATGAGTCCTTGAAACATCTGAAAGGACAAGGTAAGTTGAATAGGAGGCATGTAAAATAGGTTGAATTCATTGAAACTTTTCCTTATGTAATCAAGTATAAGCAATGCAAAGAGAACATCGTAACTAATGCACTTTCATGCAGGTATGTTCTTTTACACACAATGAATACTAGATTGCTAGGCTTTAAATATGTGAAGGAATTGTATGATAATGATTCTGACTTTGCCAAGATTTATAATGCATGTGGACATTCGACTTTTGGTAAGTTTTATTTGATGGATGGTTATTTGTTCAAAGAGAATAAATTGTGTGTTCTTGCTAGCTCTTTGCGTGAATTGCTTGTTCGTGAAGCACATGGAAGTGGTTTAATGGGTCATTTTGGGGTTGCGAAAACCTTGGATGTATTGCATTAGCATTTTTATTGGCCAAAGATGAAAAGAGATGTGCAACGAATTTGTGAACAGTGCATTGCTTATAGAAAGGCAAAATCTAGAGTACAACCGCATGGGCTATATACACCATTACCTATGCCTACTGAACCTTGGATAGATATCTCTATGAACTTTGTTTTAGGTTTACCTAGGTCAAAGAAAGGTAGAGACTCTATTTTTGTTGTGATAGATAGGTTTTCTAAAATGGCGCATTTCATTGCATGCAATAAAACAGATGATGCATCTTATATCGCAGACTTGTTTTTTAGGGAGACTGCACGTTTGCATGGCATTCCTAAGAGTATAATGTCAGATCATGATGTTAAGTTCCTTAGCTACTTTTGGAAGATCTTATAGGGAAAGTTGGGAAATAAACTCTTATTTTCGTCAACATGTCATCCTCAATGGACAAATAGAGGTAGTGAATAGAACATTATCCCAACTTTTGCGTGCTATAATTCAAAAGAATTTAAAGAGTTGGGAAGAATGTTTGCCTTTTGTTGAGTTCGCTTATAATTGAACTGTGCATTCGACCACTAGTTTTTCTTCATTTGAAATTGTTTATGGTTTTAATCCACTTACTCCTATGGACTTAATTCCTTTGCCTTTTGAAGAAAAAGTAAGTTTACATGGTGAAAAGAAGGCAAAGATGGTCAAACAACTCGAGTTCGATTGCAAATAGAGAAAAAGAATAGCTTTACACTTCTAAAGCAAATAAGGGACATAAAGTGGTTGTTTTCCAGCTTGGTGATTGGGTTTCGGTGCACATGCGTAAGGAATGATTTCCTAACCAAAGAAAATCAAAATTACAGTCTTGTGATGATGATCCATTTTAGGTTTTAGAGAGAATCAATAACAACGCATACAAAATTGACCTTCCAGGTGAGTATAGTGTTAGTTCTACCTTTAATGTTGCTGATCTTACGTTGTTTGACACAGATTTTGATTCAAGTTCGAATCCTTTTGAGGAGAGAGGGGATGATGTGGACCAGCCCAAAAACACCAGCAATGACCCATTATATGTTCCAAATGGTCCAATGACTCGGTCCAAGATAAAGGCATTAAATGCATAGGTTTTGAATGTTTCAACCAAGTTAGAATTGAAAAAGGTCCATTAGAGTATCAAGAGGAGACCCTAGTACATCTTATCCATGTGCAAGAGGGGTCCAACATAACCTTATTTGGGCCATGAAGTGAGGACAGCAAAGGAAGCAAAAGAATCCTTCTACAACTTGGAAACAACATGAGTGGTGATTAGTACTTAAAAGTGTATTTTTATCATGGTTTTATATCATCATTTTGCACTTGAAGTATCAATAACTCCTTAACTAAAGCATGTTTTATAATAATATATCTAATAATATAAGATACCTTTAATTTATGGTAAATGTTCATTTTAAATGCAGGCCTATCACATAAATGAAAGGATTGATTGATGACTTTAAGAACTTAAATTGCAAGGATAAAGAGATGGCCAAACTTAGAAAAGAGATGTCGGTGCAATCCAAACCGAAACACTGTTCGGTAATTGGGTCATATCTGGAGTTATATATCTCAGATTTAGGTCCAATTTATATGGATGGAAAGGTAGGACATAAGCCTACAACTTTCATATGGAGCCCAAGATCTAAAAAGGCCATTTTCAAGTCCAAATTGTAGCAACAACAAAGAAGCCCGAATCTGTCTTCCAGCCCGAGCACTGTTCAGTATTTTGGCCATATCTGGAGTTCTAGAAGCCCAAATGAGCTGAATATTTTACACAAGAAAGCTGAGACAATTTTCTACAACTTTCATGTTTTCAACTGGCTCCAATTTTGACGTTATCAATGACGTTTTGGGCAGACAAGAGAAGATAAGGATTGTCACCAAGTTAAAAGTTGGCCACCCACTTATCAATTAGTCATCAAATCAATAGTTCCCAATTTTGGCCTATAAAAGGAGGCATTTGCCATGCATTTAGGCATCTTGGTTTCCAGATCAAGATCATGCTCTTCCTTTCTCTCTTTGTATTTTTTGTAATTTTTATGCTTTGCTTTCATTAATATCAAGGTTATGCTTTTCATTTCCTTTCATTTACTTAGTTAACTTTTATCTTATTTATGTTCTTATTTTGTTTATTTATTCTTCTTTCTTTCATTATGTCTAGCTAAATTTATTATGTCAAGGTGAAAAGGTTACACTAATGGTGTAAGAATAAGTATAGTGTAAACTTAATATGGACTTTAATGTTTGATACTAACATATTTTGTATTTATTATATTATTCACTCTTTAATACTTTGCTTGTTAAATGACTAATCTTGATTTATGTCGTATAACACTTGGTACAACAAATGCTTGCCACTTTCATAGCCAATCTTATATGGTATAACCGACACCTGAGCTAGGAAAGGAACTTGATTTGTTGTTAACATAAGTTATAATCATGAATGCTTGACGAGATTTACAAGTACTAGCATTAATTGAATAAGATGACTAATGTAATCATGTTAACAATCTATAATCTGATTGGAATCTCCTCTGTGTGTGGTTTCCAATTGAATAATAAGAGTTTATACTATACTTGTTTGACATACCATTAGTGAAACCTCTAACCTTGACATTTGTTATTATTATTGTTTAATCCTTACATTAATTTTCCATCTCCAAGTTCCCATCATCATCTTCTTCTTCTCTTTCTTTATTACTACTACTACTACTACTACTACTACTACTACTACTATTATTATTATTATAGTTATTATTATTATTGTCATTGTTGTTATTATTGTTATTACTATTATTATTGTTGTTGTTGTTGTTATTATTGTTGTTGTACTATTGTCGTTTATAATTTGTACAATTAACCTCCCTGTGGTTCGACCCCGGTCTTGCCGGATTATTTATTACTTCGACACTCCTGCACTTGGGAGAAGACATCAATCTTTTAGTCGTGTCAAGTGGCTACCTTTTCCTTTTGTTTATAGGATTAAGGGGCTACATGGAAGGTTATAAATAAGCCTTGAACCAGTTCTATAATATTTTACTTCCTTCTCTTCTTCTCATGACAGAACATGGATTTAATATTATGGGCTTTGTTTTATTTTGTTAGCTACAGTCCAAGGCTTGTTTGGGCTTAATTAATACTTTGTTTTCAGTTAGTATCCGAGACTTGTTTGGATTAAGTTATGGGCTTTTCAGTTTAGGGTTTTGGATCAGTTTTAAGTGGACCTCATTTAAGTCCATATAAGGGGTCCATTAGGGTTAACTTTTTAAGAACTATTTAAACTGATGTAAGCTAAAATTTCGGCAGTTTTTGGATGATAATTACTTATGAATTTTTTTTCAGTTTTAACGTGTGAGAGTGATTATTGCATTCTTCAGTTCTTGAACGAACTGAATCTGACTTATCAAAGATTAAGTGGCTTTGTGGTATCATTCTACTCAATCCAATAGTGTTGGTGCCTTGGGGTAGGTTTCCATTGTGTCACACTCCTATCAGACCTATTTCGGCTTTCTGGATCAGATCTTAATCTTGATTATGGGTTGCGTGACCGCGTGATCACGAGATTCGTATCAGCTAGTGATATTTTACGAGCACCCAAAAACTAAGAAGAAAATAATAAAAATATAAAAATCTGAAAATTACTATCCTAAATATTCTAGAATCAGATTTGTCACCATTAAAAAGTCCCAAATAGACTAGGGAATCTGATCTGAAGGTAGAATGTATTCTAAAGTCTTCTTTCCTTTTGTAGCTCGGATGAATAAGGAATCCTCGTAAGAAAAGGATTCTGAAATAATTATGAATCCTTGCCACTTGGAAACTATGTTGCAGCCCATTAAACATCCTTGTAGAATTAGTATATTTCCAAAATAAGCTGTCATATCTTTTTAGGAAAAGAATTCTAGCCAAATAGGAAGTCCACAAGTCAAAAGGAAGTATATAACAAAATTCTTACAGCCTATGTTGACCCATATTGAGATGTCTTCCCGAACTCTGATTGACCTGAAATTTAACCCAAGGCAATCAAAAATCCAATCCACCTTTTTTTCCCACTCTAAATATGCGTCGAGATCGTTTTTACCTTGAAAAGAAGGCATTTTCAGTTTGATAGCATCCAAATCACCATCTAAATCAGCATGTCCCCCAACACTACGGAAATTTTCCCTTTGGCCGAATTGGCCTCTAGTTCTATTCCCATACTCCCTTCGGTTTCTAGGCTGCCAAAAACCTTCCCGGTAGTCTATGGCCTCATCATCAAAACCACCATCACCAATATCACCAACGGCCTCCTCAAAATCCTCACAATCAGCCCACCTTGGCCTGTTGGCCCTACTATTATTGTTTGCTTTCGGTTCTACCCCAAGCTTCACATTTTGGGTGCTCGTACCAGCCTCGTTACCACGTTTCTCCACCCTATCAAGTCTGTCACACACATTTCCCATTACAAAATTCATCCTCTCCATCATTTGTGTCATGGCTTGCATTTTAAATGTAAGTTCTCCCTTAGGATGGGGCGGTGTATTATTTTGATCTGACATGATAGTACCTGCAAAAAGTGGTTAGTGGTAAAAGAAAATTTATCCTCACGTCACTCGAGTTTCGCTCAAACACTCTTAATATCCTCACACGCTCACACCTCTCGTCTCACCTTCTTGCGGTTCTTGCAAAACTGAAACCAACACCAAATAGAACCAACTTGGCAGCACAATCCAAATATGTATATGACTCACGAAGCAATAAAAAAACTAGAAAACAAGCAAAACGAAACTGCGATGATAGTCTCGTGAGTAGCAAGTGAATCTATCCGAAATATGAACGAAACTGAAGACTCGAATAAAAATAGAAATAAAAAATATGAAAAATCATTAAACAACACCCGAATATGTTTTATATGATGAAAATAAACTGCAAGAAATGAAATCAACAAAAAGCAAGGGAATTTCAAACGGTGACGCAAGACAGACTCGTTTACGATAAGTTAAGTC